TAGAGATGTATTGAAAATAAGATAACTTACTTTTCATCCGAAATCCCTCCACGGGAATAATTTTAAACTTGTTCATGAATATTTTTCGTTCCTTCAACTTGAAAAAATTCAAAATTTCGAAGTAGTGACGTAATATATCTAGTATCCCCCCTCCAAAAGATCAGTCTCTGAATAAAAAATCGCGTGATCTGAGTAAAGGCTGCGATCCAAGTCTAAACTTAATCGACCAACATTCACATTGTTTCTCTCTGGAGTTATTTATAAAATATTAGATGAAACCGATAATGTTTTATGTGGATATTGTGGTAAAAATATATATTGGACAATCTAAAAGAGCTACATAGACTCGTTTCAAGGTTCAAATGACACACATTCAAAAAATGTTGCTCAGAATTGTTGATCGGTATATGACACTAGACTTCTCGATTCTTTCGAGAGCCTCAAAATAGCGAGCTATGGAACGGAAAATTGAACGAAAACAATTCTCCCCAACCGTGGATCGATTTTTCCAGAATTCGGTAAACTAACTCAGCACAGGCTTGTTCGAGGAAATCAATGCTGGGAATTGAATTTTCATTGACAAATTAAAGATATTGATTAATCACATCTGTATATGAATAGAAATTCCTAATTATGTCCTCTCTTCTCCAAAGTGAAATAAAACATGAATGAATATTAATAAACATAAGAATTAGGTGATCGATTCCATTCGAGAATCAACTTGGTTATACTTCACTTTCCACTACTTTTTATTCTAAATCATTTTATTACTCTGCATGTACCGTGAACCATAACCAATTAATCCTATAATAACTTTTCGTGTTTTGTCTTGTAGTTTATTAATTATTTTTAGGTCAAGCTGTTAATCATTTCCAATGATACGGTTTCCATATTTTTGGTGAAGGTTGTTACTGTTAATATTATTCGGATCAAAATCATTTTTTATATTAAATCGAAGATGTCACCTTTATTGTATCTTTTGTATGTATCTAATGTTGATTTTGGTGCTTTCGAGGATATTTTTAAATCAGTACCTAACACAAAATAATGGAAATAAAGAATGGATCTATCAAAAGAGAAAGAAATGGCAACTATTTAAAAATAAATTTAATGTGTTTCATTGACTTTGATATAGAATACGAATACAATGTCAATTTGCTGTCGTGAAAATATTCAAATATCGAATTAAATAATCTATACCTAGGTAAAAGGTTTTTTGAAAACTTTGCATTTCTACATAACTTGCAATAAGGTTTTTCAGTTGTGGATATTTATTCATCCACACTAATTAACTGGAATGATAAGAAAGTAATATAATTAGGTTGTAGGTCCATATTCCAATAAATATTCATTCTACTGTGTCGTATGTCGGCGATTTTCGGCCAATTTTCCTCTACAACATCAAATTGAATCAATTGCTGAAACAGCCTACGATAATATTCAATAGTTTTCAAAAATGTTTTACTCTCACTACAAATTTATTTTTAAAGCCACTTTGAAATAATTCTACAGCTCTATTATTAATCGAAATTTGATACTTGACATTTTTCACTTAAAATATGTTTCAAATATTGATCAGTATATTTGTATTCCCACTTTTACGTAATTTGATTTCGAAAATTCTTAATTTTTATCTTTTAAAATATTGACTCTGTTCTAAAGTTTTGAAATCAAATTTTATTGTTGATCAAACAAAAGTAATCACAGTCAGTATTCGTAACTATAATAGTAACAGAATATGTTTGATGTAAATAATTATTTAGTCAACAGGATACAACTTGCAAAAAAGTGGTAGGGTTCTTTGTTGTTCCTTCAATAACACTATAATAAATCATTATTCTTCTCATAATCTCGAAGTGACTGTATATGCCAATAATATTATAAATGCGAATGTAAGTTTGTACACATATTCTTGGAGGTATTTATTGAAAAAAAAAAGTATTTTTTATGTAAGATAAAAACTATGTTTGTCAAAAAATATCAAAATCTAGCTACTTTAACGCCCTCTAGCATTCCAGTAATGAAGTTCCAACCCGTAGTACCGTAATACCGTCTCACTATATTATTCACAGTCGGGACAATATCCAATCCAATAGACTATAGTTTCAGCTGTTTGGAATTTTTCTCGATTTATTGTTATTTTCTACTGTCATTTTTATTTTTAGGTTAGGTGTCATTTTTGTGGTTAGATGCCACTTAAACATTTGTTGTTGCAATTCAATAAAGCATATTTTAAATTTTCGAAACTTCATCGTATGTAATAATTTTTAAAAATTGATAATCCCATTCAGGCATTAAAATATAGTTCTTATATTGATTCATTATTGTACTGACACTTATTTAATGGCATAAATGCGAGCAAAGCCGCAGGTACAAGCTCGTGTAAAATAGTTTCAAATGACAAATTCTGTTTACTCCATCTTTATTCAAAAAATGTGGGAATCTTCCAAAGAAAAAAAATCAATTGATTTAAAATAAAACTATTCACATAATCTTCAAACGACATATTTTTTGTGGAGGACTCAATATTTTATACTGTTTTTTTTGGGTTTATAACCTTCCACAAAAATGAAAGATACATCAATAGAGAATCTGCTGAAGTGTAGCAAAGGGCAAACTGAAAAACTTATCCCGAAAAGTTACTGCGTAGTATAAACTACTGGAAAGTTCAATTAGTCGTCAGTAACTTGTAGTATTCATAAATTTTGTTTAAAATTTGTAGGCAAAGTTACTGCGTAATTTAAACTAATTGAAAGTCCAATTGATACAGTAGTTTATAACACGCAGTAACTTTTCAGTTTGATCTTTAGCACTTCAGCAGATTCTCTATTGATTTACATTTCATTTTTTCAGATTTTGAAATGTTATAAACTCAAAAAAACAATATAAAAAAACTCTTCACAAATTTTAGTAAATGGAGAAAAACCTCGAAACAACTATTTTCATATACGAGTAAACATTGAATTGCACGAAACAAAAAAAAACTTTTCAAAACACCTTTTATATGAACATTGAATTGAAATTCGTTACAAAAATTCATAAGTTCAGGTACGAAGAAAATAATATTTTACCGTTTTTCAACATTTGGCTGCAAAAAAATTATTTCAGTTTGTGAAAGGGGCTCATTGTTAGGGTAATGGTAAAACATTTATTTTTGCAAAAAAAGATTTGAAAATAATTTTAAAGGTGAAAATTTAAGAATTTTAAATATCAGATTCTAATGGGAATTCTAATGAACTCTAAAAGTACAATTTTTTGAAATTGATTGCTTATTCCTTTGCTTTGAAAGATTCCCACTTTTTTGTATGAAGTCGGTAAGAAGTAGAAAGTCAAAACGTATCTTTCCCAAAAATCAATCTGTCCTAAAATCGTAGTCCTTTCAATTTAAATTGAAAATTTACCTGTTACTTCCAAACTATTGAAAATATCGAGAATTGTATAACGAATTTATTCTTCGTAAAAAGTCTCCAAAAATATCAGAACATTATTTTCATAACTATAATAGTTGCAATTATTCGAGACAGAAAAAACTGAAACAGTTTTTTTGCAGCCAAGAGTTGAAAATCACTACATTATATTTTTCGCACCTAATCTCTAAATCGGCTGTGGATGTTAAAAATCACTTAATGCTAACATTTGATCATGATTGTTGTTTCACAAACTCAATAGTTCGGGATCTAGGTTAGAAAAAAGAAAAATCAAGTTTTCTTAGAAATATACCTATATCATAAAGACTACGCAACATTAAAAATAACTTAGAATACTTTCCTATGGATTTAAATGACTTCTGTTAACAAGGTTATTATGCTTTTTCAATCACTTCTGGACTACACAATTAGACTGTTACAGAATTTTCACAGTATAAACTTGAAATCACTGTCGTTGCAACAATTATTATAGTTTACGAGATGGAGTAGTTGAATTAGGAAACATATTTTGTTGAATTCTGAATATTTGTCTACGGATGGGTCAGACATCGATAATATTGAAGAAACGTTGGTAATTTTTTTCCTTTTTGTGAAACCTCATTTGGTGCTTCATTACTTAGTTCATTTTTCATTATAAGTTTATTGTTCAACGGATGAAAGTGCTTAATAATTAAACATATATCAAAAAGGGTCCAAGAGAAATATGAATATATACAAGCCGATATTACAACTGCATCAAATATTTTTTTTTTCAAATACTAGTACTTCCTAATCAAATAATGTGGTACACCCTTGTCACAGGGCGTGACCTATTACCGAGTTAAAAAATTTCTGGCACAAATATCCATGCGCGGGTACAGATTCGCTTCTATTGTGGCCAGAGATCAATAATTCTTCCACTTATTCCCTCGACAGTTGTAGCTGTCCACCAGTCATACAACACTCTGTATTAGATATGTTGACTGTGGGCGATATACCATTCAAATCATTTCGAGAAAGCAGAAGAACATTCTAGAAAGTAGTTAAGCAGGAAACGGTAAGCTGATGGCCTCAAGCGATAAGACTGATTAGGAATTCCTTCCTGACACAGTAATTTCAACTCGGTTGGGTTATCTAATTCACCACTTCCTCTTGTAAGGGCTAGGCAGGTAGACAGGAAAGAATGCCATAAGAATCTTGCATAAGGGTCACTTCTACCTGACATTAAATTTATTTCTATTACTGTTTCTACACATTCTATTTTTAAAAAATTTCTAAACGAAGAAATGGGACAGTATTGTATATGTATGTAAACCCTGTATTCTACCTGTTAAAATGTACAAAAAACGAATGACAGTTCTACGTGTTGCATGCTCTACCTTATTAATCTTGCAATTGACTTCTAAAAGTGACAAAAAATCGATAATGCGCCATGCCCAGATGAAGATAGCTATTTTTAGCATCAGCTCTTGAATACTGACTAGGTTGGAGGTCAATAGCTTTTAAAAGATCAATTAATTGAACCAAAACCCAACATTCTAAATCCCTGAGAAGAATCGAAAAGGTAATCGGCAAAACAACGATTTTACTTACCAGTCAGTTGAAATATCGCAAATGATAGCTTATCAAAGAATAAATATTTGACTGGGTAAAAATAGATCACAGCAGTTACAACTCTTAGGCTTAGTAGTCACTGTAAGACACGTCTGTACTCTACGCAGCGGTAGATACTAATGAAGCTCAAGCTCGGTAAACTCTGAGAATACAGGTCACAGGCAACGAGCAGGGAGACAACCGTACGACCGTACCCAGTTGGTTTTAAAATGTTCTTTGACGTGTTTCCATTGGAGCTTTGAAATTGTCACGCAGTGTGCATGAGGCGCAGTTGGTTTGTGAATTATTCGAATTGTTGAAGAATTGAACGTTCTTGGTTCCTTGTTTTCATTATGAAACCCGTTTAAACTGAAGCAACCTTGAATAACTATCAAAACGACGAACTGGAAAATAATGAGAGACCATCCGGAGTGTGATTTATTTCCCTTTTAACTTTCCAGAAAGCCAAAGAACGTTCTGTATAGTTCAAGTAAATGATACAGTGCAACCTATCTTCCAACAGCTCCTCTTCCATAATATAGTTAGGGAGCTAACTGATTTCGTTATTCAATAATCATTTCGGATAATATAAGAATCACAATAACTATATTATATATATTTCGTTTATATAAGTGAGTGGGAAAGTAGGGATTCAAATAACAGGGTGATAATTGAAAATGCTTATGAATACTATTTCACTAACTTTCTTCGAAAGCTTCTGATAGTCCCTCTTCCATATTACCTGTTTCACTATCACTGTCGTCATTTAAACCAATAATGAATTTATTTCCACCATTAATATGGAAGTTTCCAATCTCCTTATAGTCTTTTTCAACTAAAATTAGTTCTTTAATCCTTTTCTGCCAGTCTTCTTTGGTAATATTAGATACTTTTTTAATTAGCTCTATTACCTTATCAAATTTTGTTTGCAGGCATGATAGGTGTACACATTATCGAACCATCAGTCCTCCCTTTCGTAACTGTGTCGTGAGTGTCATACCAAGTTTCGTTCAAATAGAAAATTTGCCGTTGTTCTTGTCTTTATTTAGTTATTTGTTCTAAGTATTTGTTCGCAATTCCACCAGCTTTCCATTACTGCTTAACGTTTGTTTATTATTTCAAATCTAAATCCTAGTTTCTTTATCCAATTCTGAAGCTTCATTTTTTAATTTATATATCGATGATTTTGAAACTACCAGACTATCAACGGTATACGAAGGATTTTGGTGAGGGAGAGCTAATATACACTCCCAACCAGCAAAATTGTTTTATAATTTCATTGTGCTACTTTTGTTGGTTTTTTATAATAACTTCCAAAATGCTAATTGAATCAAATTACTTCCGCGAATATACATTTGCTGAAGCCAAGAATAAAATGCTGCATTCGAGAAGAACCTCATATTTGAGCTTATTTAAATTTTTTTTAAATGTTTTTTAAACGCGTGTTTTTTAGTTTTTCAAACTATATTTATTTGAATCAACAATTGAAATGTCGTGCTGTCTAAATCTATTTTTATATACTTTTCAGTTTATTTATCATTCAACTCATTTATCAGTTCATTTCCATTTCAAAACGCAATAGGTTTTTTACAAATTGGCGTACTTTCAACTTTCAAATTGTATACCCATTTGTGATTCTCTGTTTGGAACCTTTGGTGTAGTAATGAAGTTGGAGTTTTTCCCGATACCAAACCATTATTTTAACACCTTGACACGTGTTTCGATTACCAAGTGATCATCTTCAAGAGGAAGATTAAACTAAATATACTTACAATGTTATCCTTTGTCTCAAATTAATTTCACAATATTGCTTTATCTACTGGTCTTGAATTAATTTTACAATGTGTCCGTATGTAATAGTCAGGTAAATCTAAAAATCAAAATATTATTTCAACATGCTATACCTATAGTATACTATTAGGTATTGGTCCACCATCTTTAGTCATAATATTATTATGTTTACTTATTTCTACACTCTCATAGGCATCTAGATGCCGGTTGTTGGTAATTTGTCTAACTAATCTTGATGAACTGAAGTCTATGGAATGGTTTTGTTGCAAAATATGATAGGCGACTGCTGATTTTTCTGGTCTTCTATATTTCAAGTGTGCTAAATGTTCATTATATCTTATTTTAATAGATCTTTTTGCCTGTCCATAATATTTTGCATCGCAGCAGTCCTTTCATTTAATTTCGTAAATTCCATACTTTTCCAAATTCTCGACTTTGTTTTTTGGATTCCCTGAAAGCCTCTGTAGGGTATGACTTGTTTTAAAAACTACCCTCATACCTAGTTCCTTCAAAATCTTTCCAAAGTTCTTCGTGTTTTGGTGGTATGGAACAGAGTTATATTTATCTTGGCTTTCGTCGTTTATTGAAAGTCGATATTTTGTTCATTTTCAACCTAATCTTTTCCTTCTTTATTATTATCATTTACAATACCCCTCTAGAAACCGTTACTGACTGCTATTTCCTGTATTGCACGTTTTTCTTTTGTGACCTCTCATGTGTGAGAAGAAAAGTCAAAAGACGATGCACTTGAAAATTCAGCCCAACACGTCTGTCCTATCCACATTGATGTGAACTGTCAGGAATATACCAGTACGTGCTTGTGTCTTTTCTAAATACATCGTATTCTAGCCCTCCATATTGGTTCCTCATTATCAAAACGTCAAGAACTAGAAGTTGTCCCTTATTTTCTAACTCATACGTGAGTTTAATTGATGGAAATCTGTCATTCAAAAAGGAACCAAAGTCCCCAATATTCGATTTTTTGTTATCAACTATCGCAAAAACATCATGCACATACCTTAGCCATATTTAGGAAAATACTTTGATTTTTCTTTGGTTTTCATTTCGAATCAGCTCATGAACAGGTTTGCCAGGTAGGGGGACAAGGGTTTACCCATAGCCGTTCCCTCCTGTTGTAATAATAATAATAATAGTATAGTTTTCGACTCTGAACGAGGTGACTACAACTCTGTCACCGAGTTGGAATCCGTTCAGCAAAAGGCCCATATAAAAGCCGCAGAGATCACCTCACTTCTGCGGAGACACAGGGATAAGCCAATGCATGGGGTCTTCTTCAATAACATTGAAGACCTTGGCTTATCAAAGCGCCTGACCTTCACTTTCCTCAGGTCGAGTGGGCTGAAGTCGGAAACTGAGGGGTTCATCATGGCTTGCCAGGATGGTGTCTTCAACACCTTAGTCTACCGCAGACGCGTGATGGGTATAGAGGTTCCTGACACAAGGTGCAGGGCCTGCCGCGAGGCGCCTGAGACCCTAATGCACTTGCTATCAGCATGTCCAGCATATGCGGTCTCGGCCTATATCCATCTACATAACGCGGCCCTAAGAGTGCTATATTATCATCTACGGCACTCTTACGGTATTGACGAGACACCGGTGTTGCCCTACGCTCCGGGGGATATTGAATCCGTTGTGGGGAACGAGAAGTGCCGAATTTATTGGAACTATTCGTTCCCCACCCTCAGGCTCATACAAGCTAATAAGCCTGATGTAGTCCTTCTCGACCACCAGACCAAAACGATATTTGTCGTGGAGTTTTCACGAGACGAATGTCGTCAGAAAAGAGGAGGAAAAACGGATAAAATATCGAGATTTTCTCTTCGAACTCCGCAGACTCTATCCAGATCACTCTGTCAACATGGTCGTTCTGATTCACAACACAACAAAAAAATATTTTTTGAATGTTTCCTACACTAAATTAGTCAATTTCTACTAATTTTGGGGTGATAAAAACGAAAATAACAATGAAAAATTTTTATTAGCTCTGGTTTTGGAGATACACAGTACTTAATCTTAAAGAGTAGTTATACTATACGTGAAAAGTGAAAGTACATAAAACAATATTGTTATGTTTTTTTTAGAATATTTTGAGTACAAAATTAATAAAAAAAAACATTATTCTTAGTGTTTTGACAAATAAAAGAAGTTTGTACCACCAAATTTCAATTAAGTCCATCCGATTCATTGTAAGATCGCTGTCGTTTAGTTTGTCTTTTATAAAACACTTCTGGAGCATCCCTACACACAGACCAGCAGTAGTCTACAAGCATTGCTTCATTCCAACGGCCCTGATATCTCTGTTCCATTAAGGCAATGTCTTGATGGAATCTTTCTCCATGTTCTCTCTCCATTCACAGTTTTGTGGGAAGAAATTAAGATGAGAGTGAAGAAAATGAATTTTTAAGGACATGTTGCATCCAAGTTGGTGGTAAGCTTGAAGAAGCTCCTTAACCAATGCTGTGAAGTTATCATCTCTTTTGTTACCTAAAAACCCATGTACAACCCCCTTAAAGGCTTCCCAGGCTCTTTTTTCATTTCCTGTTAAAATCATGTCAAAAGCAGGATCATTTACGATTTCACGGATTTGAGGCCCAATAAAGATGCCTTCCTTGACTTTAGCATCACTCAACCTGGGAAACTTTGCTCTCAAGTACTTAAAAGCTTGTCCTTCCTGGTCCATGGCCTTCACAAAGTTTTTCATTAGTCCCAACTTAATATGTAATGGGGGAAGGAGAACATCCTTAGGATCTACAAGAGGCTCGTAAACTACATTTTTCTCATTAGGGTTTAGGTCTCGTGTAGGCCAGTTCATTTTTTCATAGTGAGATTTTCTATCCCGACTGTCCCACAGACACAAAAAACAACAGTACTTGGTGAACCCTAATTGCATTCCTAGGAGTATAGCAATGACTTTCAGATCACCACAGATGTGCCACTTGTGTTGTTCATATTTGATTGATTGGAGAAGTGTTTTCATATTTATATACGTTTCCTTCATGTGAACTGCATGACCTATAGGAATAGAGGGTAGCTGATTTCCATTATGCAGAAGTACAGCTTTTAAGCTTAGTTTTGAAGAGTCTATAAACAGTCTCCATTCAGATGGAGTGTGATCCAAATTCAAGCAGTCCATCAAACCATTAACATCAGAACAAACTACGAGGTTTTCTTTTTTCTCAAAAAAAGGAAGCAAATCTTTTTGACGCTGTCTGTACTGAGATATTTTCACATCATGTTTTAGAAGATTCCACTGTTGTAGTCTTGACCCTAACAGCTCAGCCTTTTCCTTAGACAAGCGAAGATCTCTTATGAGGTCACTCAACTCTGCTTGACTAATTCTGTGCGGATCACTAGACCTATCGCTTACCTCAAAATCAGGGTCATAGGATGTAGAAGGATGGGTTGCTCCTTCTAAACAGTCTCGC